TATCACACAAACTAAAACAAATTAGGTTGAATGAATGAAAAAATTAATTATGAAAATACTTAGAATTTAAATATTTTCTAATATTTATACCCTACAATTAGTCAAAGAAAGGAGGGTATGATTATAAATAATGTATTAGAAACTCAATGAAAAATCTTAATCCCATATTTCATGTTCTGTTATTTATGGAAGGCAATTTTCAAAGCTAGGACATATTTCATTAACTTTTGTAAATTGAAATAATTTTAATCAATAAATTGTTCAAAATTATGAACTAATCTTTCAATTATTGTCCATTTTTCTACGCGTATTTATCACCTTAATTTTACAACTTATTTATATTATATTGTTTATTACTTATTATCTAAAGAAATCACACTTCTCTTTTTCTCTCTGGCTTTGTTTGATGTTAAAGAATTAAAAAAAATTGATTTCTATGTTTCATCTTACGCTTCTATCTTTTCATTTAGGCTTCTATTCTTATACGTTATGCATCATCAATCTAATTGCATATCTTTGTTTTCTTTATTGTTTCATGTATTTGTTACTATTTATATTATTCTCTTTTATTATATGATTATTGGACGCTGTACTATAAATATCCTTCTCAATAAACATGATATCTTTCACATAAAATTAATTTTTATTTATTGACCTCAATTACACTTTCTGGTATTGTTAATAATTATCTTTTGATTTAATGCTTCATGATTTTTTTTGTATTAATTTTAATTTAATACCTTTTCTTCCCTTTGAATTAATTATTGCCACAAATAAAATTTAACTTAATAGAATTTGATTATTTATTTTATTCATACGAGAATGGATACTATCCATTTAATAAAATCATAAAAAAATGAATATTCTAACATCATAAATATAATAACAAAAGCCTGAGATTCTAGAAATGGTTTGCCAAATTCATAAACGTGAGATAGTTGCTGTAGATCTGGACACACAGAAAAAGGTTAATTATAATATATGTGCCGTAATTGTTTAGTAGAGAAATTTAACAATAACAAAATTTCAACTATTGATTAGACAAAAGAAAGAATTTAATCTTTTAAGACCTAAAAATAAGAAAATAAGACAAAATAGATTCAATAAAGGTTGGATTACTTCAAGAAAATACTTGATTAAATCATGGAATTCAAATGTAATGTTGAAAATACATTAGAAAAGATCTATAGTCAAATCAAAGCCCAAATCTTTACAATTTAATAAGAAAAATAATCATTATTAGAAAACTCTTAAATATTGCACAATTTCCAAGAAGATGTTAAATTATTATCTGAATTTCTTTCAACAGATAATTAAGATAATTAAATGGAATTTTAATAAGATAGTTAATTTATTGACGAAATTTTTAAATAATTTGAACTCTTATTTAATTATGCTTCTTGCTTCTAATCTATTGACATTTTTAAGGATGCTAAATAGAAAATTAACGAAATAAATGAAAATGTCAAAATTGAAATAATCCCTCTCCAAAATAAAAATAAATAAGTAAAATGGTAATTAATTTTTTAGAAAACACCAAGTTTAAATAGAGTATGTCCTACTCATAATAAAGAAATCATAATGATAGACATAGATGATAAAAATAAAAAAATGGAAGATAGATTTGTGTGCGTTGATTGTATTGACGATCACCCTAAATGTGAATATAGAACGATTGAAAAAGTAAATTAAGAATGGAATCATACAAAAAACCAATAAGATCGAATTTTAAATGAATTAAAATTAAAGAGATAAGAAAAATAAGAAAAATTGAATCAATAAATTGCAATCATGAGAAAGAATTACAACTAATAACTTAATGAAATTAGCGAAAAATTAATCACAAAATTTTCTCGACCAATAAATAAAACAAGTGAGATTGGTAAATTTAAATAATCATCTATTCAAGGATTAAGCTAAGAAGAATTGGTTTAAAATCTTAACTATTTGATTCAATATGATAAAGAAAATTTGACTTAAGATTCCAAAATTGAATATGTGAAATCTAAAGATTCTTTATTTTCAAAAGAGATTGAAAGCAGATTGGAACACTTAAAATAGCATGATTAATTAGACATTTAAGAGTCAATTAATATTTTACAAGATATCTAAAGTATCAAAATAACTCATAATTTTTAGATGATAATCAAATCCAAGGGATTGTTTTATTATCATAATAACTTTAGGAAAACACAAGAGTAAATTAAGAATAAATGATAGTAAGACAAGAATTAGACGAATTGATAAATTCTTCAAAATAACTTATTGCTAGGTGGGTTTATTTAATCAAACTATTTAAAAATTTTAGCAACACCTTACTAAAATTGATGTTATTAACAACAAATTTAAATCTGTTCCAGATCATTTGAATCTGAAAAACTTTGAAAAGTAAGTTTAAGATTATACTAATAAATTTGAAAATGATTCTAAATAATTAAAGAAATTTTGTGAAATCGAAAAATTAGAAAATTAGTTAGAAACTTTGCAGAAAGATTATTAAAAATCAGAATAAGAAAGTATAATTTTAGTTAATCAATAAGATAAATTAATGGTGAGCACCATAGAAAAAGATTACAAGACTAAGATTAAAGATTAGAATTTGATAATAGATAAGCTTAAAGAAATTGAAAAAGATACAAAAATCTAATTATAAAATTCAGAAAACGAAAATAAATTATTAAATAAAAAGTTAAAAGAAGAACTAAATAATTATACCTAAAAATTATAAATCAAAATATAGTAATAGATTTAAGAACTAAATAAAAAAGTAGGTTAATAGGATACAGCAATGAATAAATCTAAAGAGAATTAGATTATAAAAAATAATTAGTTGATCCGATACTAAATTTAATAGTTAGAACAAATTGGATTTCGATAATAATTGATGAACGAGGAAACTAATTAATCATGAGATATAGGAATGGAGATGAAGCGATTTAATGCTACTTAAGGGAATTTTGGTATAAGAGAGAGATATATTTATTCTGTTTGGAATCTTTCATATAGTGGCTTAATCTAAAGTTATGAGGGATTATTAGAAGGAAAACATGTGCATTAAATTTTCATCTAAGTGAATGAAATATAAGGCTTCATGAGGCCTGATAGATGTATTCTATAACTTTTGAAAGTGTTCGAAAAATGATGCAAATAAAAAGAATGAACTATAAATTTTAGGAAGCTCTCCTTAATAAACTTTGGTAAGGATTCATTAAGGATGTGGATCAAAAATTACATAAAATCAAGAAGGATAGAAAGAAAATTAATATTGACTCCACTAAATTTAAGCTAGATGCAGAGATAAATTA